ACCCGTGTCTGGTGTGGGGTATGCGTAGCTCGGCTCTCAGCGACCCACCTCCGTCGCAGCCGTGACACCCCGGCCAGGGAAAGTTTTTGCTTAGGCTGGCTTTCCTACAGCAGGGAGAGAATCTCTAGTTACAGAACGAAGTGAGCAGCAGCAGTGCTTTCCATTTGCTCCGTTCCCTGCTGACCTTCTACTGTCTAAATTGTGCAAAAGGGGAAAATATACCCAGGCGTCCCTTTCCCGTGCGGGCTGGGAAGCGTGTGCGTCAGTGCCCGAGAAGCCTGGGTGGGTGCAGGGTTTCAAAGCTGTGGAAGCGTTCGGCAGGAGAAGCTGTCAAGTCGCAGCAGTGCTCCCCGTGTTAGTGGTTAAGGAGATAGTGTCAAACACAGAGGGATGACCTCCTTGATAGCTTCAAAGCTTTGCAGTTCCCTGCGTTTTGTTTTTCTGGTCTAACTTTCTCATTTGTGGCTTCTTTTGTTATGCTCAAACCAAGTTTTGTAATGCACTGACATCTGCTGTGTGTTTGCCCTCTGCAGCCGCTAAAGAACTGAAATAAGGCTTGCAGCCGCCGCAGAACGGGACTCGGGAAATAAAATTTAAGAAAAGGGGGGAAGGAGAGTGGGACAACCTGGTAGCTTATTATTGATACAAGGGGGTAAGAGGGAGCAAGCCACTCCGCCCTTAAGGATCTTATAATAGTTTTATTGGAAGAAACTGCACAAAGCAAGCTGATTTCGGTCATGCAAACAGCACTTCTATCGACTGACTATAATCACCATTTAGAAAAAGCTACATTAGCCCAATTTTCCCTTTTTTTGGTGTGATCAGGGTTGTGGTGATGTGATGGCTGTATGATCTTGATAAATAGCTTTTCTGCTAATTTTCAGGAACACTGAAGTTGAGAGCAAACAGTGTAGCTGAATAACCCCGCTATCTGCACAATGAGCGCTGTATTATTTACAACTGTTCTGCGAGACGGGAGCTGCCTCTAACCCAGACGCAAGTAACTGTGGGTCCTGTAGCAGTAGCTGCTGCAAGGTAACGGCGCTTTTAAAATACCAGACCAAACTGGGAACAGTCTTCTAGTCAGAGAGCAGCAAAACGTGCTGCTGGCCTAGGGCTTCCCTGAAACGTTGTGTCTGGTGAGTGACTTCTGGCTGGGGTGGAGGGCGGCGGAGGGGCTCCGGGGCAGCGTGGGGCAGCCCCACACCACTGTCGGTGGGCTGGAGGTAAAGCCACCGAGGGCTCCAGCCCAGATCCTGGCCCGTGCTCCTGCCCGCCACGCGTTTCAGCTAAACGTTTCAGAGACCCAGGGCAGCACTAATCAGAAATCTTTTATCAAAACAGTTTTAAATGAGAAACCGACCTTTGCCCAAAGGAAAGTGAGGCAGTTTTGCTTTTTGTCAAAAATTGAACATATTTCTAATGAAAAACTGAAGCCAAGCTGGCATTTTTGGTTACGTTGTTCAACTGAAAATAATTGTTTGTAAAACTACACTTTTTTTTCCAGAAACAAAGTGTTTTATTAGCTTCAGGAAAGACTCTCTTGTACAGCAAAGACTGAAAATCTAACAGTCTCTCTAGAAAGGGGGGAGCCTCCTGACAAATAGCTTCCTAAAATACAGACTTATGCCAGCTCCGTGAAGGAGTGGGTTATGGGTTTGTCCTTCCCATTAGTCCTGCGGTAGGTAACGTTAAGGTAGCAGGTCTCTGATCTAGGCAAGATCCTATACACAGACACTTGAAGGATAGATGGCCTTACTTTTTTTTTTTCTATCCCAAATCTGGCTGTAAAAACTTGTTTTGTAAATGTATAGTTTGCTAGAAAAACTAGGCTCGAAGTGTGTCGTAAAATGTAGTTTCTGCTTTTGTTCTGTCCCAGCAAATGTGCAAGATGGCTGCAAGAACCGAAACAGAAAAGCACCTTTTCATTATGAAGAATCTTAAACAGTAGGGAAACCCTGCTCCCCTTGAGATCAAGAGGGAAATTCCTTTTTAGCTTCAGAAGAACTAAAATTTAGCTTTGTATCATTCTGAAAGCCTGTTCCTAAGCCCTGGTGTTTCTGTCACCTTGCAGTCTTCCCACAAGCAGGGAAAAGAGATAGAGTTCTTTACATCTTTACATGGAGATACGGCTCTTTTTACATCCTGACCTCAGTTTCAGCGGTCAGTAGAGGGTTTGCTTCTGGGGTGGTACTCAGGAACGTTTCTTCAAGGGTGTGTAGTGTTAAATGATTGCTGGCTTTCTCTCTTTCTTTTTTTTTGTTTCAATGGGAGCAATCTTCCTTGAAAGTCTGTGCTGAAGTGCACTTCGTTCATTATGATTAAGGCCTCTTATGGTCAAGTTCCAAATATCCCATTTTCAAACTGAGATGTCTGACACTGGCAATCGTGGTCAGTAGTTAGACTCATGAGTTCCCAGGTGCATTTAAAGATACTGTGTATTACCTAATTCTGAGAAACCGCACAGACAAAAATGTGACATTAGATGACTGGTGGAGGATCCAATAGCAAGTGAAACTCTGCTTTATGCCTTCCAGCAGGGAAGCTGTTTGTAAAATACCTCAGGTACCCAGAACGTGACGTGCTGCTTAAATGCCCTGTGTTATTCCAGTCATAACATCAACCAGTGGAGACTCCTGCTCTGTGTTGTAGTTGTTGATGAACTAAGTCCTCAGGTGCAGCGGAGCCTGTTTCTCCCTGTCAGAGTGTAAGCCTTCTATAGGGCTGCATTTCTTCCTTGATATGCACTGCACATTTTCAGAGCTGCTCTCTGTAACAATGCTAGGATACGCAAAGCACTAAAAGCTAACAAATCACTCAAGGCAAAAATCTTTAAAAAAAAAACCACAAAAAACAAAACAGCCAAACCCCTTCATTTCCTCTGCTATTTATTTAAGTCGGATAAAATCAAGGTTAAAAAATCCAGCCCTTCGCCCTGCCCATTAAAAATGAACCACAGAAGAACTAATTTTAATTTTTTTGAACTGTTATTCCAAATAGTTGCTGAGTATTTTAGCACACGTTCAGCGCAATACATGCTTTTGTATTTAGCGGACATTGCGAGAGCTAAGCTGAACGTGAAGCCGTTGAACAGAAGGGGCTCAATGCGATATTCAGTCACGTGGCACGCTGGCTAGTAGCCTTCCTGTGCAAATAATATGATTTCATGCTTAATGTGAGCCACCTATGGCACCAGGAAGATGAAGGTGTATGATGCGGAGCTAACTAGGTACCTAATGGGACAAGGAAGAAGCGGGAGAGTGATTTAGTTTGCAAATAGCTGCATTTTGTTGTCAGATAACCTGTGATGTTTACATTCTGAACCCCGCTGTGGGCATCGTGGCAATTCCTATGAGCTCCAAGGGTATTTGTCCGCCATCACGCCCGTGCCTGTGGCCGGAGCTCTGCAGGAGCTGCTCTGGCAAAGGTCTCTGGGAGAGGGGCTGAGTCTTGGAACGTAGGGCCGTGCTCACCCACCCCCTTCCCAGGCAGCGCCGTCTCGGTGGGCTCTGCCGGCCAGCCCGGAATCACGCCGTCGGGCAGATGTTGGCGTGTCCCCACCTCGCGCGGAGCTGATGCTGGCTGGCCCGGACAGGACCCCTGACACGAACCCTTGGGTCCGGGGCGGAGGGGGTGCCTAGCAGGGGTCGGACTTGCCTGTGGGGCTTCACTTCTTCCGACAGCTATGCTCATAACAGGCATATCTCTTTTATTTGTTGCAAGGGAGAGCTACAAAATAGATGAAAAAAGGAAAACAAGTTAAAATGAAATTAGATGTAGGTAAACAAACCGTAATAAAATGAACGGGCTGAACTTTCATCTACATCTCAACTGGATTTGAACCAAGCCCCTTCTGAGAGTCTAAGAAAGCTTGGTTAATTATTTTTTTGTTTGGTCTGCTCTGCATTTCCTTGCTCTCATCGTGACCAAGGGTATAAATGCTGGAAAACTGTGAGCAAGTCTGATATGCCAATGTTTTTGGCCAGGTCAAAAGCAGGACAGGCTGGAAATGTCATGCAGACTCCCGTGCTTGGTAGATTTCCAGTTCAGGTTTGCGTACTCAGAAGGCTGGAATAAGATTGAGATAAACAAAAAGACCTCAGGGTGATCGTACAGACAGAAACCAACTTCCAGATTTTAGGAGGCTGCGCTTAAACTGAAATACTCAGCTTCTTCGAGGTTTCCGTTCTTGCTGTGAAGGGAAATTTAGTGTTTTGGAA